TCGTTCGACGATTCCGTCCGCTTCTGGGTCCGTTCTGCTAATTGAAGTCGCGTTCCCCCCAAAGGAGACGATCCGAAACCCTTTTAACGGACACCTCGTCGAACGAACATCGCGACAAACCTCCATGCTGAACGAGCATCCCCCGAGAAAGAGTCGCGAGGCGAGTCGTCCCAGGTTTTTTCTCGACGATTACTCCAACTGTGATCCAAGAACTCTGCGAGTCGAGAACGCGGGAGCAAGAGGTCAATAATGTTCGTTTCACCGTGAAATTGAAATATACACGAAACAACAACCCTGGCTGGCTAGTAGCGGTTAGGCAATCTCCGCTGTCACGCGGATTCCCGTTTCGATGCGTCAACGAAAGAGGGTACGGGCGGTCGGGAAATCCTTTCGATTGATTTCTCGTTTCTCATTTGTCCCGAACGGCCACGAAATCCCGCAGTTTCACACTCGACGTGAGACTGACCCCTCCGGAGAGCTTGACCCACGCTGCGACGGGACAGAGAACAGGGGATTATTGGCCGTCGTTCGAACGACAGGCGTTCCAGCACTTTCGTGCCTGGATTTTCATCAATTTTACGTAGTTTCCGGGAACCTTCGCGTCATTCGAGTAAGTTCCCGGGATTTGCCAACGACGTGGAAATAATTCTGATCGACTAATAAAATCGCGAAAGCATCGATCAGGTTTAAGGCCTCTCGATTACATCAGGACTCGTTCGAGTATTCTGATTCGACGGACGTAAGACTCTCTCGCGATCGAAATATCGTTCTTTCTCTGTTTCGACTTTAAAAAGACACAGGTTACTTTCGGAGGACTTGCTAATTTTTTACTCAAAATCCAGAACCTCAGCCCCCACTACTTAGATTTAAAAACAGATGCCAAAGTCCTCCAAAAGCTGTCTACCCCTTGGTAAATTTAGGACATCCGTTTCAGGGAGATTCGAAGTCTATATGTATATCGCGAACAATTATAGCAACTAAATTCTACCGGGAATAAAATAAACTCGTTACATATGTATCTTCGAAGACCTGTCACCTATATAATGTAAACTTTTTGTAAATTAATGGGCTTTGTCCTGTGGAAATAAATATTATTATTATTATTATTTCCATGTCTATGATTTCTACTACTAATTTCGATCCCTCTAGTTCGACGCAACGAACCATAATGGAATAGGATCGATCTCCTCTCGGTTGATCCGTCTTTTCAACGCGCGGGTATATTAATCTCTCGTTTAGTCGAGCAGGTATCCGTGCAGCTGTGGGTAACCGCAATAGCAAACAGGAAAACGTGAAAAGCTCGTTGACTTCCTAGCGAACCGAAGCGGCTAGGAAGCTTTTCGAATAGAACTCAGCCCCTCGTGAGAAGAGACCTGTCCTGCGGCCCCAGAAAACGGGATTACGCGAAATCCCATCCCGGTCACTTTCCTAGCAAACATACATCTTCCACCCCAGGATACGATTATCCGAGAGATTCGTTCTTTCGATTCTCTCCCCCCTCGACCCGAACCCGCGAGGTCAGTAGTCTCTACGACGACCCGCTGGAGCCATTTCCTAGCCAGCTGTCGCGACTTATCGTCGAATTTAACCTCGCCTCTTCTGCTCTCGATTCTATCCAGATTTAATTCGCCGTGAAACGAGTCCCTTAACTTCCGAAAGTTACCCTCGTTCTACTTCTCCTCCAACTCCTCTTCGTAGTTCGTGCCCATTCCGATGCACGGGTAACCGCTGTTCAAAAGCAGCCCACCTTTGCAATTAGTGCGCCAGAGTATTTTAATTACAGATACAAATTTCCGTCGAAACTTGCTCGACGATTCGGTGGTCCAGAAGAATGTACATACGTGATTCTTCGAAGGGCAACGGACGAGTAACCGCAACTCGGCCTGGAAACACCACCTTTCGTTCGTCTGAAAAAATTCGAAATTTCGTCCATGAGAAGGAGAGTAACGGGTGCCCGAGTGGTATGCGTGAATTATCATTTAATTTATTTTAAGTTAAAACCTTTTTTACAATGATATCTTACAATGTCGTGTTCTTTTTTTTTTTTTTTTTTTACATTCGAAATAAAATCGCCACGAAACGCGTGTGTCCCGTTTCGTTGGGTTTCGCGCTCTCTCTCTCTCTCTCTCCCCCGACCGATCTTCGATCCTCGACGAGCGCTCGTTTCCTCCGTCATCGTGCCCATGCCTCCCATAAAGTCCTTAAAACGTTTATGCTCGGGTATATTCGTCGTTTCTTCTCGCTTCTTTACACAATCTACACGCTACTGCCTAATAATACTATTATTAGAATAACCTCCAACTCCTCCCCCCCCCCCCCCCCGGTTCGTTCTCCTCCCTTCGTCCTCTCCATGATCCTGGACATTTCCGAGCGCGAAAATTGGGGGCCATTGTGTGTCTCGTAACTCGCCACGCCGCACTGGACTACATCGCGAATCTTCGTTCGGTAAAAACGTCCACGACGCCCCGAATAGATATCACACGCTCCATCGTCCGGTTCCACGCGTTGCATTTCAGTCTTTTTCTTTTGGAAAATTACGACGTCGGTGACCTTTTCACCCCGGACCCATTCACGACTCACTTCGTCACGCCTAAAATCTTCAGAGGCGATAGTTCGTACATACCGAACCGCCCGCAACCTCCAACAGCCTATCGTCGATCTCCCGCATTGGAATCACCTTTTTCTGTATGTGTGTAGAGGGCAAGCGTGGGCAATAAAATGATTTGTGGATCATCGAACAATTGAAATTTGTCTGTGACGAATATTTGGGTTCGATCGGGGACAGGGAAACGATCGACAACACGTTCGAAAGGTTAAATGTGACACCACGGATCGGGTAGAAATTGAGGGGAAAAAAAAAATGTTCCAAGTATCTTCCAAAGCGGCAGATCGATCGCGAAACGAGGCGTCACGGGGGTTTGCGGGCGGTGATCGATCATCGCGGCAACTATTCGCTGGAAATACGACGCGGGTTCCTTAAAACGGCCTAACGATCGACGAAAAGAAAGGATCACAATGTGGTCTCGACTCGTGGTCAACGATCGCAACCCCGAGTCCTTTGCGATTAATTAATTAATTAATTAGAACGATTAATGAATGGAAATCGGCGATCGGCCGATCGGCGACGACGATAATAGTGTAATAAGAATAATAACGATAATCGTCATTTACGGCTATTAACCTTTTCGCTCGCGATAAATCGTTTTAATTACCATCGCTCGACTATCTAGATGCAAATCTTACGATGCGCAATTAACCGCTAATTTATGCACAATCACTTTTTCACTCCTCCCTCTCTCCTGACACTTTGCCAGCCGCTTTCCCGTTCACGGCGTTATTAATATATATATATATTTATAATATTTATATATATATATATATATATAGATTTATTTATTTATATATTTATATTTATATATATAGACTATCGTTACAATAACGGTACACAATCTCGAAGATACAAAATTTACAACGCGTTCTCACCTCCCTTCATCTATTCTCCGTTCGTCATTTTTTTTTTTTTTTTACACTTCTGGCTTGCACCTTCCCTCGCGTCCGTCTTCTGTCCTTCACCATCCCGGACAATTATATTTTTGGTTGCTAGTTCCCGTTGTTCACTTTCTATCCGCACGATCGAGGAATCGTTCTCGGCAACGATCACAACACAGACACACGAATTTATTTCACAACGACGGGAGGACGATCGACTCTCAATCTGGATCACCGGAAAAATTCTCTATTATAATTTACGGATTTACACTAGGTGGGCTTACGTTCGCTATCGCTCGCCACACACGTTGGTCGCACGTCGATCCTTCCTTTTCCCCGTGTTTACGAGAAAAAAAAAAAAAAAAAAAAAAAAAAAAGAATAGAATAAACAACCGACAAAATGCACACGGATTGCATCGAGAGAAAGACAATTTTTTGACGCGCCGCCGACGGATCGCGAACCGAGGGATAGCCGAGAGAAGAATCGACGCCCGCGCGACCAACGGCGACAAAAATGATAGATTCTCGGTTAAAATTGCACGATGTCTCTCACGGTTCCGCACGAATACATACACGCACGCACACAAACTTACATGCTAGAACGTCCGCTGGCCTCCGAAAATTCGTTTTCTTGCGACGCCGAGGGCTTCATACCCCTATAACGATTCTCGACATTCGGCTTCGTTCTTCGGGCCACACACAACTATGTACACACACATAACCTTCGAAACTGACTCTCCAGATAATCATCATACACGTTATATATACCTGGTTCCTTCGACCGCGTTCCTACTGATTTCCATCCCCTCCACGGATCCAACCGCCCCACAGGCCGGTATACCGTTATATTCGGCAAATTGGTCGAGTAGACGTTCGAAGAGAATCGATCTTCGAAACCTCCCTCGCGTCGAGAACAAAACGAGGGAAATAATAATGAAAAAAAAAAAAAAAAAAAAAAAAAAAAAAAAAAAATACGTACACAAGAGGGATCGAGGACAGAAAAGGGTCGTCGTCTCGTTGGGTGCAGGCGCGCCACGTTTCTCCTCCGACACTCGTGTATCCACCACGCACACGCGATAGAAATTCTTGTATTTACCGTAAATACTGTTTATGTACAGCGCGCGTATAATAAGACTCGATACAAGTTAGCTGACTTTGTTTGTACTTGGGGCCGGGCCTCGATGACCCATTGGATGAAACTTTACATATTTACAGAGCGACGCGAAACCGCGAGAATAGAAGGAAAGTAACACAGAGATATGAAGATGGCGATCGTGTAGAGATGTAGATAGATAGATATATATATATATATATATGGATGATGGAAAGATTTTGGAAATAGATAGGCGGTGAAATGAAAGAAAAAAAGAAATACCGAAAGATCGTTCACGATTCCCTGGGCTCTCTCGAACGTCTCTCGTTTTCGCGGAGAGAGAAATAGGGGGAGCTGGACTCGATTACGTTAGAACGAGAGTGGTGGGCTGCGTCCTGAACTGCTGATCGCTCGCGATTCATGTGTACTCCGATCGCCAACCGGTCTGAAATCAGACAAGAAAAATCCATGGTCTTTTCTGTCGGCGTTCGAAGGCTCGATGATGACACGACCGAATTTAACGGGCCGAACAAACGGACAGCTTCTTGGACGGAAACTGCGGAATAAAATCGTCGCGGAGAAATAGACAGGGGGGGGGGGGGGGGAACCAGCTGGAGACCCTGAAGACTCGTCATGTGATGAGAATGGGAATGCGAGTGCGAGTGCGAGTGCGGGTGGATGGGGGGCGGCGCTGGTGGCGCAAAACCTTGATGAAGACCTCCGGCCACGCCGACACCCGTGTGATACATGTAATGCTGCATCGCCGGATGCATCGTGTGATGATGCTGCGACGTACCTGCAACAACAATCACCGAAACGTTCCCCTTTTAGTCGGTTCGCTAATATTTAAAATTTCAATTAAATTCCAACGGTTCCCGTGGCGTTTTCGAAAAGTAGCTTCGAATATTCAAAATGGAATTTATTCGTGATTCATACAATCAGGGGTTGAACGATCCCAGAGGAGGCCATATGTTATATATCGTCGTGTTTCAAATACAACGAAAGACAGAACTTTTATCGGATCTCACGAGTTCTCTATTTTATTCTGAACTCAATTAGATACTTAAGAGGGAAAATAAATTTATACGATTGCTCCTGTCGTTATAAAATACTTTAGAAACTTTTATTTTTGCATAAAAATTCGCAGTCTGATGATGCACAGCACATACACACCCGTGATTGTATTATAGCGATACATACGTTATAGCAAAGAATAGACTATTGAAATGTTACGGGGGCTTCTGATGGCCCCCGAAGTATGGGACAGAAAATTAAATTCCATGTTAGGTCCATGTTACGTACAATCTCGAGACTTGTATAAGAACCAGAAGGTATACCACTGTTTAGAAGAGATAGGTGAAAAGAACTTACTCATCGGCGAGCCGAAGCCGGAATGGAAAGGCTTGTTATCGAGATCCAGATGACCGCTGGCCTTGATCATATCGCCCATAACACCGCCCAAGCCCAGGCAGCCACCGGCCTTCTTCTTCTTGCTCTTCGACGAGAGCTTTCGGTTCCTCGTCTGAATGCCCTCCTTTTTCATCGTCAGCGGCCGATTCACCTGCAAGAGTCGTAGCCAACAATTCGTTGAGTCGAACCGGTACATCTAACGCGAGACGCGAGACACACGGGGAGGGGACAGAATATACACGAGCGGGACTTTGGTGGTAGTAAAAGCGCGTTTTTCGGTGTACAGTATCATCTCGATTATTGTCCCGAATGCTTCAAGACCCTCGTAAATTCGTTTTCTGTCAGAAAGCCGAGTCTCGGCAACAAAGTATGCTTTTGGCAGGTTCCACCCCACCCTCAGTGGTGGGAATAACGGCTGGACAATAATCGTGTAGACCAAGCCAGACGATAATCGAGAGGAGTGAACGGGTGATGGCGCGACGAAACGGTTCGTTTTTTTTTTTTACTTCATGGAAGACAGCATATAATCATCGCGTCCCACGATCGCGACTCTCGGTCCGATCCGGCTTCCAGACGACGCGCGCAATTAAGGAATCCCTCGGATTCCTGGTAGTCTCCGAGAGCCGGTGCAATTAACGAATCGACGCCGCAATTCTCGAGCGTGCCGCGGCGACGCAGCATACACTCCGACGAACCCTTATGGGATTCGATCGTGTCTCTTCCATTGCCCTAAAAATCGTGATCAGACGGATCGTCGGTCTCGGCTACGACTAGAATAAGATCACAAAAATCCCGAGCTCGAAGCAGAGGGAACGACGTTAGGTTCTGGGAGGGCTTGCTCGTCGACGAATTCGAGCAATTGCGTAATTCCGAAAAGTGTCGTTGACCGTCTGGACGTTGGCTTGGGTGGCGGCCCCTCCCCCCCCTGAGAGGAAGAAGAGGAGAAAGAAAGGAACACAGCGGCACGGGGAAGAGGACGAGGGAGGATGATGCCTCGGACCGACCGACCGGCCGTCCACCACCTCCAGCGGCTCGTTCGCGTATCCCCGCAATACCAGGAACCTTTTCCTTAAGTTGGCAGTTGCGTCACGTCGCGGCAACTACAAAGCGCGCCTCCACCTCCTCCCACCTCCTTCTCTACGCGCGCATTTCCCTTCCTCCCTCTGCCCCGCCAACCCCACCCCCCCGTTGCTCCTCTGCCTCCGGTGCAGCACACCACACTTGCATACCTAGTTATTTCGTACTTAAGCATCGCACGACGCCGGCGATGCGCGCATATATCCGTGCGCTGTTTCGTACCGCAAACAACCGCCGCGCGCGTGATCGATCCCGTGCTCGAAAGCGTCTCGTTTCGTCGCCTCGGTGTAACAATGTATCGTTCCGAGAAAACGTTTCTTCTTACAGACCTTCCTCGATTATCGTCACAACTTTCGTGTTGATTGGGTCGTCCGGTTTATTATTAGGCTGGTACTACAGACTCCTCTCGATTATTGTCCCGAACTCTGGTCGAAGGGACAATAATCGTGTAGACCCCTTTCCGCTGGTAGTGGGGATAATGCCTCGACAATAATCGTGTAGAACAAGCCGGACAATAATCGAGAGGAGTCTGTACTTTGACGCGTATCGAGAACAGGGTACGCAGAATCGATCGAGTGGTGCAGCGATTGAAAATTCAGGTTGGATCGCGGAGATGCGTGTTGAATCGCGGACGACGCGCAGGCGGCGGTGACTCGTGAATAAACGGTGGGGTTATTAAACGGTCGGGGATACGAGAGAGGTCCTCGGCTCGAAAGCGTCGACGGATGAACCTTAACGAGCGGAAAGACGGAGGGGGATGGAAGAGGCTAGAGCGCAATGCCCAGAGACCGACGGAGGAAGGCGAGAGAGCTCCGAACGATTTGAATACAATACGAGCGGATTTAATAGGAACCGAGCGACCGTTTGCTGCTGCTGCTGTCCGAAACTGCGCGAGGTGCAAACAAAGGGGAGAAGAGCGGGCCTCGCCAGGGCGGAAAGTCAGAACAAGAGGGAAAAGCTTTCTTCGATCGGCGAAGAACAGAGAAGAAGGATCTCGAAGTAGAGGGGAGAAGAGGCGGACGAGCCCGTCGGACCGGAGATTCGAATGCGGATTGATGCGGTCGCACACGATGCAACCGTACACCGATCGCATACGAAATCGTCGGATCGCACCGCGAATCTGGTGGGGTCAATGAATGAAAGATCGAAGGAGAAACCGCCGCCCGCGTTCCTTCGAATTTTCCCGGTCGATCGTTGAATCGAAATCGTTTCGAAGAACTGCCCTCCTATAGTAGCATACTTTGATCGATCGATTTCAGGGAAAACTCGTTCGGTTCCGGGACGACAAGCATCTAGTTCGATTCGGTGTGATTCGGAATGCGGGAGGGGGGGGGGGAAATCAATATGCAAGGCGTTGCGTGTCAATTGGTGGCGGCGGAAAGGGAGGCGCGGGGAGGGGACTTATTTGCGTTTCTTCTCCGTAACGCGATTTTACAACTTCCTCGCGAGAGCCGCGCGATGCCGCCGCCCCTCTTCGGCGAATCGACCGACGAGGGCCGTGTGTGACGCATCGGCAGATCGATCCGTGATTTATCCGCGAGTAAAACCAACGCGGGCGTGATCCGCGTGCCGAGCGGGGAGGAAGTGTGAGAACCTTCGAGGATTCTCCCCGTCCAAGCCCCGTTTCTCGTTCCGGCCCGTGAGACGAATGGTCCCCAATAACCCTGACAGCCATAGACTCGTTCGGAATGACATGCGTAACCTCGAGTCTTGGTGCACTAACGATCGAAGATTTCGTAACTTAAGGTGCTATGCCAGTGTGACGGTTTCAGAATTGGCTTTTTTTTTGGTCTATCAAGTTTTAAAAACATCAAGATCATAGTGTCTTGTAATTACCAATTGACTTTTCTCTTTTGCATTCTCCAGTTATATGTTTCGTTTAGTTTTAATATTCCGATTTATATGTTATATAAACACGTGCACATTTTTTTCCCTTGTGTTCTAATAGGAATTAACCTGTAAATGGATAAATAAATAATAAAAACACGTCATCGAGGCCATTGAACGAGGAAAACCATGGATTCTTGCTCTCCGGCTTGAAAACGAACCGGTCCTAAAATTATTCCGCGCGTAATCGGTCGATCTCCGGGGCCGGGGTGTGTAAACGCGCGGCCCGCGAAGCGGATCCGTCGCAACGCAACACGCGATAGAGACAGGCCGCCTCTGTTTCCCGGTGGAAATCTTCCGAGTTTCTCTCCACCTCTCGTCCTCCTCTCCGTCTCTCTCGTTTCCAATTTAACCCGTTGCCTTATGATTTTCTTGACGTCTGCAGTCTCCCGAATTACATTGTTACCGATAGATTCCCAGAAACCAAAAGGAATTCTGTACTTTTACTGTAAAACTTAAATATTACTACCAGCAGCATGGTACTTCACTTCAACTCCAAGAAAACCGACTAATCATCTTCTTTGTCGAATTTCAAATCGCCTAAAGAAACATACTCCTATCCGTCGGACCCCTGAATTTCGGGCCCCAGAATTCGACTTTGAACATCGCGAACAAAGTAAGTCGCGTTCGACGGGTCCTTTTATCCCCAGACCCCCCGTTGGTCGTTACCATCGATTCCGTTCGAAAAGAAGTCGAACCACCATCCGAAACGTCGACGCGATCATCGTTCGACCGACTCGTGGAACCGTGTATAAACGCAACAAGGTCGACGTTTCGGCTTCCTTCGAACCTATCCAGATAAAAAAAGATCCTTCCTCGTCGCTTGCGAGTCTCCAATTACGCTCCCTCGACTCTCGATTCGTGAATCCGCGCGAGACAGAGATCCTCCCGTTTTCCGGCGAGAGGACAGAGGTGGGGGTAGATTCGATCCGCGTCGAGAGCACGATTAATCCGTGTATTTTCGACTAGATAGACCACGCGTGCGCGACTTCTACCACGAGCGTTATCGGTCCGCCGTATCTTAACGACGCCGGATCCGTCGTTCCTCCTCCTCCTTTCTCTTTCCTCGTCCCCCTGGCGTCTAATCTCGAACCTCGAATCTCGAGACCGAGGTTCTCTCGGACCGGAGAGGCGTGTACGCCGGACGCGACCGGTGGCAGCTTAGAGAGAAACTGTCGGAGATTCTGCTCTCGAAACGATCGATCTTCGCCCCTCCCCTCCCGCTCCCTGCCCGTACTCGGTCCTGATCGACTCTGGTTCGTGTTTCTCCCCTCTCCCGTCGCAGGGCCTGTTTCGTTCGTTGGGCCCCGCGGTCGTATTCGGGATTTTTAATTCGGCTCGCGACGGGTCACCACACTAAGCGAACAGTCCCCGCGGTACTCGCCCCGAAGCGAGAGGAACGGAGGACGGTTGCTTCGGGAACCCTCGTCCTCGACTAATCCGAAAGCGAGTCGGCGTCGTCCGATTGTTCGAGCAGCGCATCGACTAAGTATTCCGAGGGCGCTCTCACTGTCTCTCTCTTTGCCCGTGACCACGGGGCCCGAGAAAAGACATTCGGACGGACGCGATCCCAGGGACCGTGGCAACGCGTGTCGGCTTAACGTCAACGGGGAGACGGTCGCCTATTCCGACTCGACGAACCCGTGTATCCGTGTGGTATACTGGGCGATTCATAAATGCATATCGATACTTCAGGGGATAAGTATAAACCGATGTACAGGCTCCTCTTGATTATTGTCCGGGTTGATTCTACACGATTATTGTCCAGGCGTTATTCCAACCACGGGGAGAGGGGACGGTGGAACCTGTTAAGCACATACTGTGTTTCCGGGACTAATGGTCTGAAGCATTTCTTCCTATAACATTATTGTCCCGGCGCGGACCCGAGTTCGGGACCATAATCAAGAATAGTCTGTACATTCTTGCCCCTCTGCTTTTTTCGGCTTCAAGCAAAAAAAAACGAAGTAACGATGTACAATTATTTTGCGGGAAGTTCCTTTTGTTACATGAGAGAAATACAGAATATACAGTATAGTACGAAATACTGCCTTAAAAAGTACTTTAAAGTATAGAGTATACGGTATAAAGTCGCACGTGTAAGGTATTAGTAAGAAAATGTGACAGAAACCATAAAGATAGGCATGATTTAAGGAGAAGGAAGAAGAGAATTTATGAATCACCCTGTATAGGTAACCGAGGGCCCGTTTACCAACGCGTTCGTTCGTTTCGCCCTCGTCTCCGCTCGCACGCGCGTGCAAACTCTTCTCGGTCGAGCGATCTCCTCGGATTCCTCGAGCCCACGAACGGGGCTGACGGTAGCTAGCGTTGGATACATCGGTTCCACGCGAGAGAACCGATTCTCTTGTTTCTTCAAGAAGAAAGAGAAGAGAGTCTGGTCGAGACGGCAGCCGAATTTATTCCCCTCGAAAAAGACAGAGAAAGTGTGTGTACGGGGCGCCCCTTGTCGCCAGGCGGTTCGACGGTGGCCCTACGCTTAATTAATGATTACCGGGAAACGTGTCTGGATCTGGTCTTCATGCTACGCATTAACCAACCACGGTGTTCCCCGCGAGTAGATCCCGCCACACGGGTTGGTTCTCGCGTCGCTCGATAAAACGCGAATCGGTACGCACTGGAGATTCCACTAGCACGATCTTCTACCGGAGAGTTTAGCGATCGGATAAAGCTCGCGATAAGCTCGACGTGGGGAGAAAAAGCCGCGCGAGGATACGTAGGAGGGATAGGACAGTGGGCCCCGTTGTCTTTTCGAGACGTCGACGTCGAGAGGGAGGGAGAGAAACAGAAAGACTTTTGTGACGGGAGCGAGCGTAACGAACGTTCGACGGAGAAATCGCGAGCCAATTAGCGCGAGCAGCAAATGAATCGTCCCCCTCCGTTCGCCCGTCCTCCACTCCCGCGTCCCTTTTCACTCTCCTTATCGAGATCATAAGAGAGATCGCGCGCTCGTAATCAAGATAGCGAGGCCAGACGCGTCGCCCGCGTCTCGGAGGGGAGGGGGAGGGGGGACGAAGCACGCTTCGAGAAACGCGGCTAATTTCCAGCTCGTCCACAAATGTATTTTTAGTCACGGTCGTTGAGGCCAATTTCGCCGAGAATGTAGACAGGCATCGAGTTACAGACGCCTCTCGATTATCGTCTTGCTTGTTCTACACGATTATTGTCCAGGGTTTACTCCCACCACAAGGGAAGTGGACCGTGGAACCTGTTAATCGCATACTTTGTTTCCAGGGCTCAGTGTCTGAAGCATTTCTCCCTACGCGATTATTGTCCCGAAATCGCGAATATCGAGTTCGGGACGATAATCAAGAAGAGTCTGTACTTTGTTTCCCCTTCGTTTTTTTTTTTTTTTGATGCTTCGGGTAAAAGACGAATTTACGAAGATCCGAAGCATTTCTTCCTATAACATTATTGTCCCAGCGCGAACCCGAGTTCGGGACAATAATCGAGACTGGTCGGTAGTAACTAGCTCTCGCGTTCTGCGCGCCGAACTGCGGAATTCGATCGAAAGGAATCGCGACGAATCCCGACAACGAGAATTCCTCCAACGAAATTGAACGCGAGCTGGCGGCCTACGTCGCGCTCGGTTCTTCTCTATTAGGGTCGACGCCCACGAGCGGCGGTCTGGCGAGAGGCGGGTTTCCGTCCCGCGGAAACTAGCGTCGCGATTCTCGGCTGGTGGCCGGGACGCGCCGTCGCGTCGACGTGAAATAGTGTTGCCCGCGGGAAAAAGAGGAATCGCCGACTCTGGGGAGGGAGAGGATTTCCTTTGGCCCTTTGTCTCGGGAGGTGGGGGGCAACGGGGGTGTGTGCTCTCGTGCGGTGCTTGCTTCCGCCGCTTCCTGTGTCACACGCCGTTGAGCACGCTCTCCACCCCCGTTGTGTCCGAGGGGAAGTCTGGCGACACTCTTCCAAGCGTCCGGTTACGCGCAAACTATCCCCTAATTGTTGGCGCAATATTGAACCGCGGGGGGTGGACTAACACTTAGGAGGTCCTTCGAGTGTCTGTGACGGGGTTCGATTCTACCAGATCGAATTAAAACTGGTCGATTGATTATCGCTTCGGTTATCCGTCTTATTCGTTCGAGATCGAGTCGGAAGTAAAGGTAGCAAGCTAGTTGTAGCGGAGAATCGGAAGGAACGCGGGTATTGCAGAGAGGGGATCGAGGAATTAGGTTCCACGATCGAGAGAGGCTCGACAATGGATCTCTCGAGAGGCTGCCGCGGCAACAATGGCAATCCGATATCGCGTTACAAAACCGAGGCCGGTTTCCGATCTCTCCATCGTCTCCCTCTCTCTCTCTCTCTCTCTCTCTCTCTCTCTAGGGCCAGCAAAACGACGATCGGTGGCTTCGACGGTGGCCAAAGAACGACCTTTTGCCTCCTGTATTTATCGGAAGAAAGCGTTTTATCGCGACGATCTCGTATCCGCCGTTTAATACCGAGGCTCTTTGTCGGTGTCTCCCTTTTACGAAAACATTGTATCGAGTGGCACGGATCCGTTTTCATCCCCCGGCGGTCCAGGGACGATTTTCTTCATCGAGAACACGTTTCCCGCGTCTCGATCGCGTGGTCCCTCGAGAATTCGAGCGGATGTTCGAGGAGACCAATACCGAAAAACACGCTGGATCTGAAGGTCGAGGTTAACGAAACGTGTGTGTACAGATTCCTCTCGATTATTGTCTGGCTTGACCTACACGATTATTGTCGCACACTTTGTTGCCGAGGCTCGGGCTTCGAGCAAAAAAACGAATTTACAAGGGTCCGAAGCATTTCTCCCTATAGGGACAATAATCGAAAGGAGTCTGTATTTGGGGCCACGTCGAACACGATCGATTACTTACGTTGTGAAGTTTGTAGTAGAGGCCGCACGCGTTGCAGACTGGCTCGCCGGCCTGATTCCTCCGCCAGAGCGTGGTGGTCGCGGTCTTGCAGTTGGCGCAGCTGGTGCCCGCCCGTCTCGCCGCACTCTGCAGCGACAGTTTTGGAAAAGAAAACGAACAGATATCACACCCGTAAACGACGCCGTGACTCTCCAGTCGTTCGAAGAGATGGAATAAGCGTGGTAGTTATAGACACGCTTTGGTAGGATCGAAGACGTGTGACCGATGAAAAACGGGGTTCCTGATATTTTCGACGAAGGGACAAATCACGTTTCTTTCGAGAGCTTCTTTCCGAAGAATTCCTTTCTTACAGTCGCCAAGCTTCATCGAGAATCGAGAAGCCACGAACCGAGAAGGTATCGCGTGAAATCGGTCGCCCTTAATCCCCCGTTCTCGGTCGGTTCGGCTGGGATTCTGATGGAAACGCGAGCCCCCCCATCCTCTTACCTGTACCACGTCGTCTGTCCCGACCCCTGTGAACGGATCGAGAACGATCCTCCAGGGTACACCTGTTCTCACCGGGTTCTCGAATAGCGGAACGCTACTTCACGAGTGGAACACAACCGTGAGATCCCTCCCTCCCTCTGTCTCTCTCTCCGTCTCTCTGTTTCGTCACGTAACTTCGATATTTAGATTCTCGAAGTTTGCTACCTCCGTTTCCTCTCTGTTTCCATTCGAGGATCACTTCACCCTTGTCGGAAGCAAGGCCGTGTTTGGAGGAGAAGTGGAACGTACCTGGGATCATTGTCGATGAAAGTATATACAAGGGAACCTCTCCTCCTCCTCTAGTCGGACACTAATGGAAAACCGATTGAAACTCGTCTGAGCGAAAACGAAATTGCACCCCCTTTTGTGCCATCCGGGGCCCGTGCGTCGCGTCACAATGCGCCTCGAGCGCGTGTCCACGAATATAAAGTGTCCTCTCGTAACTGTGTTTTCTCTCTTTCTTCCTCTCTTTTTTTTTTTTTATATTTCTTGCTTTTTGTGTCTGCGACGCGAACCGTCTTCCTGTTTCTCGTTCGAGAGTACTCGGCAGTGTCTCTTTGTAGTCGACTAGAAAATTTTCGACTCGACGCTCCCGTTTTCTTCGATAATTCAAGGAAACTGCGGACCGACAACGAAGATCGGGGCGTTTGCTCTACCGCTCGAGCAAAGAGAAAGCACGCTAGAAGAAGTGTGAGGTAGGTGGGGCGCGTCGCGGTGGTACGTAATCGTGCCTTATCCGCCGGATCTTATCAACCCTCGGCGCGTAGCGAAAGGGGTCTTCTGCAGGGTGCTCCTGGGTGCCCCCGACGTAAACCCCGCCGCGTGGAATCGATACGCGGAGAGCCACCTCATCAATATAGAGGCTCCTATCTGCTCTAGATCTTTGACACCCTCGCCGTCCGTCCAGCCTTTCACCTTCGCGGCCAGAGGGTATTCAAGGGGGATTCGAGGGGAGGGTGTGGAGAGTGGTAGCTTGAAAATCGTCGGCAACCCTGAGTTCTCTTGTCTAATGGTTATTAAACGATGGAGTGAAGCGAATTTCCGCGGTGGTTCCTGGTCGGACGGTCGTTAACGAACGGAACAGGGGTGTGAGATCGGTCTGTCAATTTTCGATTTCGACACCGGTTGACCTCTCATGGACGTGCTGTGTCGAACGAAAAATGGACGGTCGAGGATCGACGGGAAATAAAAGCACGAATCCATTGCCGGGTTGGAAAAGGAACTCGAGGGCTGGGAGTCCGGACGCGAAGCAAGCGGAGCGAGTTTACGCGCGTCGAGACCGGTCGCTGGCAAAATAAAATCCATGCGAAACGATCGAGGCAGGGGCTCGGCGAAAGAGAGACAAAACTGACGTGGCGGACCGGAGACGAGCAAAACGAGATAATAAGGGAACGGGACCGGCAGAAAAATCGAATCGAAATAAAAGGAGGACACAAGAAGATGGACGTGGCGCGAGGGGGAGGAAGTGGTGGAAGAACGAACGAACGAACCGACGATGAAAAACAAACGAGAGGAGAGAGATCGCCGCGAACTTCAGAAATGTCATATCCGTCAGTGTCCGGTGTGCTCCGTGTCCTGGCCTTCCGAAGCCAACCGGTTCCGAACTACGTACCTCGCGGATCAACTATTGTCCCCTGGCCCCACCCTTCCTCCAATTACAACAGAGATACGAGAATCGGACGATCCAGGAGAGAGATTCGGCTATCTTACAAGGCACGGAAGTGTCCGCCTCTGATTTTCATGAAACTTCGTAGCTCTGTTAACCAGTCAAAAAGAAGGGATACGTATTTTTTTTTAACGGCTGAGATGCGACTTTAAGGGATGAAACCACCCGTCGAAGTTTCAATCCGAAATTTTTTTTGTTATAAACAAATTATATTTTGGACAATTTGTTAGCACCATATTATTCTACATGAAAAACCCGCAAACCTCGTCCATTAGAAGTTTTCATGTACCTCCTCTGGTTTTCGAGACAGTACTTTCGGGTCGAAATTTCGAGGGGTGCTTTCACCCCTTAAAGTCGCGTCTAAGGCGATAAAAAAAAAATACGTATCCGTTATTTCTGACTGCTTAACAGACATACGAAGTTTCAACAAAATCGGAGGGGGACACTTCCGTGCCTTTCCTTGTTAGACGATATATCTATCTGATATACAGACTCGTCTCGATTATCGTCCCAAACTGGAGTCCTCCATCTTATAGAGAGAAATGCTTCAGGCCCTCGTAAATTCGTTTTTTTCCCCGAGGCTCGGCAACAAAGTATGCTTTTAACAAATTCCACCCTACCCCCCAAGTGGTGGGGATTACGCCTGGACAATAATCGAGTAGAATAAGCCTGACGATAATCGAGAGCAGTCTGTACACGCGAATCGATTCTCCTGTGAGCCAAGGCCATCGTCTCTCTCTCTCTCTCTCTCTCTCTCTCTATCTCTCTCTCTCTCTCTCTCTCTCTCTCTCTCGAAGGGAGTGTCCTGCGAGGCAACAGCAGGACTCGCGGCGAGCATTTCAAGGATCTAATCGCCCAACAATGCGTGCACGGTTGGTCCCGGTTGACCGGTCCGTCGTCGTTCTCCACCGAACGGATTCGTCCATCCGTTCGTTCGTGGATCCTCTGGCGCACAGCCGTCTCGTTAGTATTCCGAAGGGACTTTTCGAGTAGTAGTCTCTCGATGAACCGAGAGAGGACGGGAACGACGAGTATTTTCGAGAGGATCATCCGCGGGCACCTAATCGAACGGTCCAACCTCGAGCAAGAGAGGAACGACGCGACGGGGCCTGGTGATCCGTAGAAAACCGGATCGTCCGTGACTCGGGACGATTTTTCAAAGTTAATCGCCGGCGAGTTATCGATCGGTCGTGACAGACGGCGCGGGAGTAATTATTACCGTTCCCGTTGCTCCAGTATCCAGCCGGAGTTCCGAAGAAACCCAATCGACTTCGTCCTCTCCGTTTTCTCTTCCACTCTTCGAAGGCGGGCCCCCGAGTGTGTTCGATTTCTCGGAAGCGCTTGCATAATCCCCAGGTTATCGAATCGTGTCGCTTAAATTGATAGCCGTGCCGATCGTTTATTCTTTGTAACTTCGTCTTAATTGCGTCATCGATCTTCGCAGCCAGTGAATTTACGGTGGTATCGAGGCGCTTCCTCGATCGTTTACGCGGACGGTTCTACGAATTTTCGAAAATCTCGTCAAACTTTTTCGACTTTGGCCAGCCTGCGTGTCTCTCTATCGAATCGAATTTTATAAAGAACGCCCTGTGCGCGGCCGCGTTTCTCTCCCTGCTCGAGATCGCCGCCAGCGAACGCGAATCCGGCCATTAATCACTGTATCGGGCTAATTAATAACGCTTAATGGCAAGACGCGGACTCATCTTGCGAGGCCTCGATACCGGCATCGGTAGCAGGCTTCGATTCGCTTCCTCTTCCTCCCCCTCGAGTCTCAGAAATTCTGGATTACCCGTCTGACCGTTTCTCTCAAACTCTGATCTCTCCTCTCTTTCTTTTCAGCTCGTTCTTGGTACGACAACGGAGCAGGCAAGCTGGCAAGTAGCGAGAGGCTGCATCGGCATACGAGCAATTTGTATCCCGATGAGAACAATGTTTGTATCGAGCTTGTATCGGGCGCACTCCCTCCCCCCCCCCTCCCCCTCCCAGCTTCTAGTCACGATTTAGTCAAGGATACACGGAGATCGTTATCGGGGCTACGCTCGTAAAACGATCGTTTACTCGCCGTACGGGAGTACGAACCGGCCGGAAAAGTCTCGATCTCTCTTGGGTTGGTAATCCCGCCGATTTACAACGATTCTCTTTGAAAACAATGGGGAGGGGCGCATCGACGATTCCGACGCGGCGGCGGTTCCCCTTGGTGGCCTCGCGAGAGATCGCGCGCGCGCGCACCACCGGCCGGGCCGGGGGGCCCTGATTTTATTTTAATTGCGCTCCGGTCGTATCCTACCCGCCGCGATCGCATCGCAACAACGGTGATACACGCGATAATTTATGGTTCGTGGTTTCAGAGAGGAAACTATCCTGGGAATACGACGAAATACCTTTGCGTACCGAGCGCAGTCTGGAAAATCCTCGGGATCGAATGCAAACGCGCTAACCTCCCGATCTTTCCTCGTTCGCGCGTGCGTATTCGCCCCGAAAACAAGATCTGTATATATGGATACGGGTTGAAGGTGCGCCATCTTTGGGAATGAACCACCTTCGCCGCCTACATAGATTAACGGTAACTAACGCTTTTTCATTCGCATGTATGCTTCCTCGTATAATTTGTAGAGCAATACAAAGTATGTACTTATTTGTTGCATACAAAATTTAGATGAGACAAGTACTGATAGTATATAGTATACTATAATATATGTGAATAGGTACACGTGTGAATGGATAGCGTTAGTTACCGTTAATCTATGTAGGCGGCGAAGTTGCTTTATTCTCGAAGATGGCGTACCTTCAAAATGCAGCCAACCCCTTATACCCCATCCCGTATCCACATATACAGATCGGTAGCGAAACGTGAGTCGTCTGTCCCCTGTTGCAGCAGCACTAACTATATTGCCATGGTTGGGTGAGTAGGGTAGTAAAATGGCAATAAGTTCAGAGCCCCCTCCATG